AGATGGATTGATACAGTGGCTGCAATGATGGGCTCGAGTATAGCAGGGATTGTGGGGCTGGCGTGGGATCGGGCAGTGTTTCGTTCTGCTGTGCAAGGGGTCGCTATGAGTCGGAAACGACTCGACGGCACTTAACAACAACAACAACAACATGATCTACTATTCTAGAAATGACAGATTGAAGAGGAATGGTATGGCATTCATCATCAGAAAGAATGTTTCAAGATCTATCCTGAACAACAATGCTGTCAGTGATAGTATAATATTCATACGCCTACAAGGAAGACCAGTAATACTATTATTATTCAAATTTATGCACCAAACACCAAAGCCAAAAATGAGGTAATTGAAGATTTTTACCAACTTCTACAGTCTGAAATTGACCAAACATGCAATGAAGATGTATTGATTATTGCTGGTGATTGGAATGTAAAAGTTGGAAAGAAAGAAGAACTACTGATAATTGGGAAATATGGCCTTGGTTATAGAAATAACACTGGAGATTGCATGATAAAATTTTGCAAGACCAGTGACTTATTCAATACAAATACCTTTTTTCAACAACATAAACAGCAGCTATATACATGGACTTCACTAGATGGAGTACACAGGAATCAGATCAACTGCAATGGTGGAAAGAGAAAATGGATAAGCTGAATATCTTCAGCCAAAACAAGGCCAGGAGCTGAATGTGGAACAAATTGGGGCCTCAGTGCATAGGTGTGATTGGTTGAATCATGCCCTGCTCCCTGAAGTCAGCTGATATCAGGCCTCATAGTGGTCTTTCTAGCTAGGTTTCCTTAGTACAAACTCTTAAGTGTGGTCTAGTGGTGTAGATAACAAAAGCACCTCAGTTACTTGGGAAATTCCAAGGGTTAGGGTTTATCTCTCAGGAACCAAGGGCAAAGACCAAATTACTTTGGGTAAAGTTAAATTCTTTACCCACCAGCCACTCCTCGGAAGGAAGGTTGGGCAATCCTACTTCCGTAGTGATACTGCCTTGGAAACCCAAGGAGGGGTCGCTATGAGTCAGGGCTGACTCGACGGCACATAACAACAACAACAACAACAACAACAAAGTTAAATTCTTTACCCCCAGATTATTTTTCTCTTGCTGACATGTCAATATGCTTTTGTTCTCATGGTTTTCTAATTAAGACTTTTACATCCTTCATGATCAAAAGAACATAAGCTTCTGAAGCTACTTTGCCATGTTCTATCTTTTAGATCTTCTTCATGATGCTGAGGACTTGGCCCTGCATATAATACTTTCACCAATTAAAAAATAAATAAATAAATAAATAAATAGCTAAATAAATAAATAAATGATAAGGTTTCCTGGGATTCTCTCTATAGTTCATGCTTTTTGAAATAAATATCCATGCAAGTCATCAAGGCTCAAGCCTGCCTTTCCTAACCTGCACTTGTGCACTGCATTTGTGGTGGGCACTGCATTTGATGGGTAGCTGTAGGTCCTTTGTGTAGGCTGCACTGAGGGTCAGGGAGTCACCATCACAGGTCAAGGAAATCAGGACCAGGCGAGGTTCCTGACAAGCTATAACCATGTTCCCTTTTTTGTTGATCACAAGCCAAAACCTGCAATTTCAAAATGCAGTATTTGTGTGGACCAACATGACAGGCAGCCAGTCTTAGTGGGAGCTTCAGTAACACACTGTCTGTCATCTTTGGTTTCCTCCTCTTAAGCATGGTGTGTGTGTTTGTCTGTCTGTCTGTCTGAGTTTTTCATGAACATCAACTCAGCAGCACAGCAAGCCTGATTGTATCAGTTAACTTCAAAAAGGGTGAAAATCACTCAAGCATCTGACATTTAATATCTGCAGAACATTTTGAGCTCCATGATGCACAGAAATCAGATATTAATTATATTTTCATTACAATTGCTGGGAAGCTTGATCAGTCTCATTAAACATGCCCCAAGGAGATGACAATGATCTACTTCTCAAAAAGATGTAAGGGTTCAAGGAAGCAAGCTGTCCGACACACAGTAGGCTCAGGTCAACTGAAACAGCAAGGCATCAAGTTCAGCGGAAAAGCAGAGAAACGCCACTTAAACCTTGCCAAATTCACCTTTCCTCTTTAAAGATGCGCCTGACCCAAGCTATAGGTATTTTCAACAGTCTCTTATGCTTTTGAGTACTCGGCAATGAATAAGGAAGACCACAAAGGAATTGATGCACTTGAATCACTGTGTTGGTAAAGAATAGTGAATGTACCATGGACTGCTAGAAGAACAAACAAGTCTGTCTTGGCAGAAATGCAGCCTGAATGCTCCTTAGAAGTGAGAATGGCCAGACTTTGTCTCTCATACTTTGGACATGTTGTCAGAGGGACCAGTTCTTGGAGAAGGATATCATGCTTGGTAAAGGAGAAGGTCAGCAAAAAAGGAGAAAATACTCAAATGAGATGGACTGACAGTGGCTGCAACAATAGGCTCAAACATAGCAACAATTGTGAAAAAGGCACAAGGCCTGGCAGTGTGTTGTTCTGCTGTACATAGGGCTGCTGAGTCAAAACCGACTCGACGACACCTAATAATTTTAAATTAATGTTTAGCTAACTTAAGTTGGACAGTCTACTTCCTTAGTGATTTTGGTAACTTAGATTAAACATTAAATTAATAAGAACAAGATATTATTAATATTAATATAAGAAATCAATAGTAATTTATTCTGCGCTGTGGGTTCTGCACATTTGCTACAAGGTCTATTGTTAATCTGGACAATATTTTTTCTGGCTCAGAACTCTTGCTCTTCAGGTACTTCCCAGAAAGAGAGATAAATGGAGAAATGAGAGTACTAGAAAGAAGAGTTTCCAGAAAAATAGCATTTTGGGAATAGAACACAATTGTGTAGCTTACATCTCAGCTACTGGGAAGCTAAACATATAGAGGCTTTTTGGTAATCTCAATCTACACTGGATCAAATGATCACAATTATACAAATGAGTTTGTGCGTTAGGGATACAGAGATAAAAAGGAAAAAGTGCAGCAGGTACTTTAAGGCTTTTAAGAATAGGTCTTGCATCACCCTCAGTTCTCCTGACTGAATGATTCAGTTACCTAAAAAAAATAAGTAAGTCCTTTGCTTACTGTGGCACTCTGGTGACATAGTGGTTAAAGGATTCGGCTGCTACTAATCAAAAGGTTCGAACCCACAAGTTGCTTTATGGGAGAAAGATGAGTGACTCTGCTTCAGTAAAGATTTACAGTTGTGGATACCCTCTGGGCAGTTCTACTCTGTCCTATAAGATCACTATGAATCAGAAGGGACTCTTAGGCAGTGGGTTGGGTTGGGTTTGTTTGTTTTTTTTTTTTTTTTTTTTTGGTTTTGCTTAAGGTAAGCCCTTTCTCTGACTTCCCTTTTATCACTCTTTCCTCCTGGACACACAGAGAAAGCCATGCCCTACTCTGCCCCAAATTCTTCATACCAGCACAAGAGTATTCTTTTAATAGTAATAACGGCAGACTGATCTTTCTAAATACGATTCTGATCATGCCACTCCCTCATCCAAAAACCCTCCATGGCCCCTTCTGCGTTAGGGTAAAACCCTAACTCTTAAGCAAGGCTTAAGAGGAAGCCTGCTTCCCCAGCCACTCTCACAGGCCACACACACCAGCCTTTGGTACTGGCCCAGCGCACCTTATTCTCTCAAGCCAAGTCTCCTTGTCCACCCTACTCCCTGTCTAGAATCGACTTGTCTAGAAAGTTCACAATCATTTTTTGAATCTCCATTCAAGCTGTTACCTACTCTATGAAGTCCTTCCTGATCACCTGGGGCAGCTTGCAGGCCTTGCTCCTCAGTGCTCTGTGGCACATGTCCCTCCCAAGTCAGTTGGCACATTGGATTGTAAGCCTTTTTTGCTTCTCTTATGCACTTTCTGACAATGTGATGATAAAAAATAAGTGATTTAGCATTGTTGTTGTTGTTAGTTGCCTTTGAGTCCTTCATAGCAACCCCATGTGTGCAGAGTGGAACTGCTCCACAGGGTTTTCAAGGCTGTGACTGTTCCAAAGCAGACTGCCAGACCTTACTTCTGAGGTACCTCTGGGTGAGTTTAAACCTCCAACCTTTTGGTTTGCAGTAGAGTGCTTAACCATTTTTGCCACCCAGGAACTTGTGTCTGGTATAAATGCCATCTCATATTATTATCAGTTATGATAGGAGTTCAATAAATGTTGAATTGATATAAAGAATTTACAATGCCCTTTGCCTCCATAGCCAGCACAACAAATTCAACAAATTCCACCATGCTTTAGAGTCCATTCGACAAAGTGTGAATGATCTAGCTTTCTTGGCTTCCTTCCTGAGGGAAAGGGGTATAGCTCACCTTTCCACTAATTCATGAATTGCCTTCTCTCTGGGAAAAGTCACAGCCCCCACCAGTCCTGTGCATTTTTTTGCTAAACCTGTGAGGGCTGGTCTGGGAGGAAGGGGTTTGGAACACAGCCTTATAATAAGGCCTGAAGCCAAACCAAGAAGCCGGCAAGGCAACTAGCCCTGGGGTTTTGCAAACTTCTCTGAACCCCGGGAATCCACATAACTGTCATTATCCACAGGGCATTAATAAAAATCAGTATTTCCTGTGTACAAGCATGCTAAGGAAAACAAGAGTCCCAGTTCCACTGCTGAGTGACTTTGAACCTCAGTTCTTCATTCATAAAAGAGCAATTGAGCAAATTAGGGAAAATAATACAATCACACTTTTATATCGTCAAAAAAGATATATAACACAATATTTGCCACCAAATTAGAGTTTATCACATGTACATTTTAGTGATATCAATTACATTAATCATGTTGTCCAACCCTTATCCCTTAACAAATTTCCATCACTATAAACAGAAACTCAATACAATTGCACTTATTAAGCTGTAAGAAGGTATGCAACTATCATTATTATTGTGTGCTGGGCCTTGGTGGCCTATCTTTGAGGTATGGACTGTGCTGGTCCAGTTTCCTCAAGTTCTCAATGGTCACTAAAAATAAATCCCTTGGAATTTGCTCCCTACTCTAGACAGAGCTTAATAAGTTTGCAGCACACTGGCAAACACCTATAGCCTGATACACATCTCCTCAGGAGCGCAACATGAGAGCGCCCCTGGGAGGGGGAAATACACATTTCTGGAAAGCAGTTGGAGTCAAAGAGCTCCTGCTCAGCGTTCTGGGGCCCCGAGGTCTGCTCTCTGAGTGCTAACCTACTGCCATCGAGTCAGATCCGACACATAGTGACCTCTCCTTTATTTTCCGAGGCAATGATGTTGTTATTATGTATTGTGGAGTCGGCCCTGACTCATAGCGACCCCTCCTTGGGTTTCCGAGGCGGTATCACTACGGAAGTAGATTGTCCAACCTTCCTTTCGAGAAGTGGCTGGCGGGTTTGAACTGCCAGCCTTCTGGTTAGCAGTCAAATGCCTTAGGGACCCCTTTTTCTCTGTTTCCCCACTCACCTCGCTCCCAGCTTCTTCCAAGGAGCCAGAAGGACCTATTCTCGGACTCTGCTGACCTCCCACGGGTGCGTTCTTGTCCGGGACCCAGACCACTCTACTCATTGGCCCGGGTCAGCTGTACCCGTTCCGCAGTTGGCCGCTGCGCAGCCCCATGGCGATGCACTCAGTCGCGCTCACCGACATCCCCTTGCAGAATTTGACAGGGTAGATCCAGAGCTGTGCCACGGTGCCCACCTGTTGCAGACGCCTGAGCCGCCACCGCGCTTGGCGCCAGGCCACCGCCCCCAGAGCCATGGTGGCCAGTCCCAGAGCTGCAACTCCCAGCCACCTGGGCCGAGGCAGGGCGGGAGTGCGCGTCACAGGGAGACCGAGACGCGCCAGCGCGTATGAGCTCGCAGTGTCCACCGCAGAGGGCTGCGGCGCGGGACGGAGAGGGCGCGAGGCAGGAGCAGGCTGGCACAAGGGGACGGGGGGGAGGTGGGGCCCTGGCTCAAAGCCCACGGAGAGGATGGCTCGGTACCCCTTCCGGACCTACTCGGAGTTGCGCGGCCTTCTGCTCAGGAGGCCACTGGGCGCTTGGGGTGCTCGACCTTAGCCTCCACCCGGCCTTCACCTCCCGCCAAATGCACCACTCCGTCGCTGCAAGTGACTACTTTATTTATGTATTTGTGAGCTAGTTTATTTGGCCGAAAACAGGCAAAACCACAAAATTTGCTTTACAAAGGAACATGATTCACAAATTAGCATCTGAGGAGGGTCGGTATGGCCTGGGCGAGTATCCAGCTGTCCTAGGCCGCCTTGCCCAAAAACGATGGTGCTGTCGACTATGGCTCTTTGAGGCTCCTGTCCTCTGAGGTCAAGTGGGAGGACTAGGCCCTGGGGCCACAACCGAGTCTCTGTACTTAACTCCGAGGAGCAGTGATTTGAGAGCTCCCTGTGCTAGGCTGGCAACAAGGTGCGCACCTCCTGCCAGGAAATCTCAGAGATTGAGTCACATTCATAAGCCAGTCAGCTAGCAAGGCTGGTATTGGCACAAGATCCTAAGGCTTCTTCCGGGCAGAAGAGAACATCCCCGGCCATGAAGGCACTGACCTCTGCTACTGGTCACTGTCGCAGTGCAACAGATCATGCTATGTTTCAAGCAACAAGGTCAAATAGGTGATGTGTGCTTCTGCTTCTGTTTGCTGTGCCAGGCACTATTGCTGGTTACGCTGGCAGGATTGTAGAGGGGAAGACCCCGCCAGAGCCTTCCACGCAAATGTCTTGCATGAGAGGATGGCAGGATCACCGAAGGGAGTAGACTACCTTTCCCTAGCTGGCAGCCCACTCTAGGGCCCTTTAGTGTTCAGGAATGATCTGTCCTTGAACATTGCTCCTCACCCTACAGTCTTCCTTGAAGAACTTTATATAGTTAAAAAAAAAAAAAACCAACTTCATTGCCGTGGAGTTGGATCCAACTCATAGCAACCCCTTCTTGGGTTTCCTAGGTGGTATCTCTACAGAAGAAAATTGCCCAATTTTCCTTCGGAGAAGTGGCTGGTGGATTTGAACTGTCAGCCTTCTGGTTAGCAGTCAAATGCCTTAGGCACTATACCACCAGAGAATCTGATTCATCTGGAATTAGTTTTTGTCTGTGGTGTGAGGTACAGATCCTGTTTCATTTTTCTGCAAATGCATATCCAGTTTTGCCAGCACCATTTGTTAAATAGATAATCTCTTCCCCATTTAATGGATTTCAGCGCTTTGTCAAAGATCAGCTGACCATAAGACTATGGATCTGTTTCTTGGTTCTCAATTCTATTCCTTGGGTCTATGTGTCTTTCCCTGTACCAGCCAGTTTTGACTACTGTGGCTGTGTAGTAGGTTTTGAGATCTGGGAGTGTGAGACTTCCTTCTTTGTTCTTCTTCAATAGTGCATTGCTTATCCGAGGTCTCTGTATAAAGCTAGTGATTGGTATTTCCATATCCTTAAACAATGTTGATGGGATCTGGGTTGGGATCACATTGAATGTATAGATTGCTTTGGGTTGTTGTTATGTGCCGTCGAGTCAGACCCGACTCATCATGACCCCTCCTTGGGTTTCCAAGGCAGTATCACTACGAAAGTAGATTGCCCAACCTTCCTTCCGAGGAGTGGCTGGTGGGTTTGAACTGCCAGCC